TTTATTTAATCATAGAGCTCAATAACTTAATCTTATTAATTTAATAATAAAATCCAATACTGATTTTTAAAATTTTGAAATTTTAGGATATCAAATTTTTTAAACAGGAGAAAGCACTAAAATAGGATATGGATGGCAGTAGGTTATGTTTCTAAAATTAATGGATATTTTCTAACTAGACTGATAACATTTCCTAAACTACATTATACTACAGGGATTTGTACTACTAGGTAAGGTGTGTAATTTCAAGGATGGGATTAGGTAAAGTATTATCCTATCAAACATAGCAACTACATTCAAGAAATAAAATAACTAATGGATATCTACATGATTTATAACTACATCATGAATTATTAGATTACCTGTTGGAGTAAAAAATATTGACATTAGATATAAATTTTAACAAATTATTATTATATATGTGTGTGTGTGTATATATATATATATATGCATTAGATACATAGATACATATATATACACGAACATACATACACACAAACATCAAGTATGGTTTATGTTTATTTTATTTATTAACATCTTGATTAATATTTTAATATAGGTTGGTATTAATATTTTAAAGTTTTAATTATCAATAAATTTATTATTGAATTTAAAATTTTTAATTTCAAAATTTAATTATTATTTATCAACATAAAAAAATAATTTTTAAGAATTAAAATACATTCAAATAAAAATATTTTAAATTTAGATATTGATATTTATTCCACTAAGTAGGATATATATATAAATACATTATATAACTATTTTATAATTATCAGAAAACAGATAAGAATAATTTAGAGGAATACAACAAAATCATAATCACAATTTTCAAAATTTTGAAAATAAATAATATTTTGATTCAATAGAACATAAAATCAAACAATGTAAAGAAATTTATTTCACTATTTAATTTATTTATTGATATATTAAATTAAAGTTATATTTGCACATGCTTTGTTTTAATAAAATTGATATTAATTACCAAGATTTTGTCCGAAACAATTCATTAAATCAGTATTCTCATTTTCATGATTCCTACCAATTTAATGTATATTTTAAATATATCATAAATATTTCATATAGTAAGAATCCAAAACTTGAATTATAGACATGCATCAAAACTTTAGTATTTCCATAAAAATTCTATAACAACTCTTATCAAATGATATAATATACAATAAAAACACTACCAATTGGATTTTTCAAGTAAGTAAGGAAAAAACAACCCTTTACTTGTAGTCATCTTAAAACTAATAAACTAAATATATTAATTATTCATAAACCTTCTTTGGATTCAAATGCATTTTAGAATACATTGCACATGTGAATATCCTATTCAAATTTATAACAAGCATTGACATGTAATATAATAATACGTGGGGGAGACCCCAAAAAAAACCAATTTTTTGTATAAAACTTTATTTATTAACTTTTTTACAAAATTCCTTCAGTCACCTTCAAAGTACTCTCCATTAGATGTGATGCACTTGTCAAGTCTTTTTAATATTAACCTATATATTATAAAAAATAATATATAGGTTAATATTAACCTATATATTATTTTTTATAATATATAGGTTAATATTAAAAAGACTTGACAAGTGCATCACATCTAATGGAGAGTACTTTGAAGGTGACTGAAGGAATTTTGTAAAAAAGTTAATAAATAAAGTTTTATACAAAAAATTGGTTTTTTTTGGGGTCTCCCCCACGTATTATTATATTACATGTCAATGCTTGTTATAAATTTGAATAGGATATTCACATGTGCAATGTATTCTAAAATGCATTTGAATCCAAAGAAGGTTTATGAATAATTAATATATTTAGTTTATTAGTTTTAAGATGACTACAAGTAAAGGGTTGTTTTTTCCTTACTTACTTGAAAAATCCAATTGGTAGTGTTTTTATTGTATATTATATCATTTGATAAGAGTTGTTATAGAATTTTTATGGAAATACTAAAGTTTTGATGCATGTCTATAATTCAAGTTTTGGATTCTTACTATATGAAATATTTATGATATATTTAAAATATACATTAAATTGGTAGGAATCATGAAAATGAGAATACTGATTTAATGAATTGTTTCGGACAAAATCTTGGTAATTAATATCAATTTTATTAAAACAAAGCATGTGCAAATATAACTTTAATTTAATATATCAATAAATAAATTAAATAGTGAAATAAATTTCTTTACATTGTTTGATTTTATGTTCTATTGAATCAAAATATTATTTATTTTCAAAATTTTGAAAATTGTGATTATGATTTTGTTGTATTCCTCTAAATTATTCTTATCTGTTTTCTGATAATTATAAAATAGTTATATAATGTATTTATATATATATCCTACTTAGTGGAATAAATATCAATATCTAAATTTAAAATATTTTTATTTGAATGTATTTTAATTCTTAAAAATTATTTTTTTATGTTGATAAATAATAATTAAATTTTGAAATTAAAAATTTTAAATTCAATAATAAATTTATTGATAATTAAAACTTTAAAATATTAATACCAACCTATATTAAAATATTAATCAAGATGTTAATAAATAAAATAAACATAAACCATACTTGATGTTTGTGTGTATGTATGTTCGTGTATATATATGTATCTATGTATCTAATGCATATATATATATATATACACACACACACACACACATATATAATAATAATTTGTTAAAATTTATATCTAATGTCAATATTTTTTACTCCAACAGGTAATCTAATAATTCATGATGTAGTTATAAATCATGTAGATATCCATTAGTTATTTTATTTCTTGAATGTAGTTGCTATGTTTGATAGGATAATACTTTACCTAATCCCATCCTTGAAATTACACACCTTACCTAGTAGTACAAATCCCTGTAGTATAATGTAGTTTAGGAAATGTTATCAGTCTAGTTAGAAAATATCCATTAATTTTAGAAACATAACCTACTGCCATCCATATCCTATTTTAGTGCTTTCTCCTGTTTAAAAAATTTGATATCCTAAAATTTCAAAATTTTAAAAATCAGTATTGGATTTTATTATTAAATTAATAAGATTAAGTTATTGAGCTCTATGATTAAATAAAATATATTTAAATATTAATAATTGATAATTTTGGAAAAGAATTTCATATATTTTAATTTAAAATGTCCATTAAAACATTATTACTGATTAATCAGAGCAATTTCGAATTGAATTTAAAAACACTTCTTAGGTAGAAGCAGAAAGTACTGCCATAATTTCTTTTCTTCACTTGTGAAAGATGGAAAGCACTAATAGGTGAAAATGGCAGTTTGGTATGACGATTGCCCCAACGAGTTTAGCAGCTGTTGTAACACCGGCTTCTATGTACTGCTGTTCTCCAGAACACATGCCAGATAACTAGTAAGTAAAATAGGAACTGAGAAATCGCTTTCACGACAGAATTTAAATATATTTGTCAGCATGCATAAGACTTCCCAATTTTATAAATATACTTAAATTTAATAGTATCATCCTATTGAATATCTATATAAAGATTATCAAATTCCAATTTAGTGTTTCTCTTGCTACACTCATACTTGGCCAATTCAATGTTTTTAGTATTTTTTATCAGCAATGCAATCTGAAACTTTTTGTCACAAATTTGTGTAAACTTAGTTTACGTTTAAGATCTATACAAGTAGTCATGTTGTGTATTTAAAAAAAATACTTTAAAATTATGTTTTGTATTATTCATTTTTATTCTTATAGCATTAAATTTTCAGTTTAAGAAAAACATTAAATTGGGATTATATTACCATTAAAATTATATGTATTATATTATATATATTGTTAATACATATTATTAAAATTGTTAAGTCAAAATAATATAAAATATTATAACAATATAAAATAATTATATTTAACTATCATTAATGTTGTTAATTATGTTTAAAATAAATATAGTGGAGGTGGCAAAAATCAGTCGCCATGAACAATTTACTATATAAATTACATTAAATGTTCAAATTGGCTGTCACTTTCTACTAAATGTTCACTCATTCAATATGATATTTTAATGTTTTAAGTACTGAAATATTTTTCTTAAGATTTCAAACTCTGATGTGATATTATCTATTAGATTTTGTATTGTGTGAAGAGAGAGAGCCCCTCTTGGTAGTTTTTAGTTAGAGAAAAAATAAATAAATAAAGTAAAAAAAAATGAGTACTGTATGTTTTTATAATTATTAAGCTTGATCAATTTTAGCCAGTTTGATTATTTGATGCAATTTATATAATAGTCTTTCTGTGGGGCCTGACTAATGTCATACTCTACAATTTTGTTTCTTAAAATGATTTATTTAATTTAATCAAAGCTGTTAAAAGTTACATAAATTTTTTATTGCAAAGATAGACTATTAAAAGATGGACATTTCAAAATAAGTTGTATAAACTTAATAATTAAATGCTATGTAATTAATAACTTTTTAAGTGAAAATTAAATGATAAAATATTTATTAAATATTTGATATTCTATCTTTGATTATATGAAAAAATATTTCAAGATTCTAAATATGATTTTGTATAAATTGCATATCCTGGTTTTTATATTATGCATTGCACTAGCACTATTTTTCTGATTGGCAGGGTTTATTTTACAAAGTCAAAGTGCGGGTGATAGCTAAATAAAAATATGGAAGATTTTATTTGTATTTATAATTAAAAAGTAAACAAACTTGTATTAGATTATTAAAATATGTAAAAATAAACCCTGTTATTTATTAGTTATCACAAGGCTTAGCTTATTGAAATTATTTATTATTGGGCGGATACTGAATGAAATGGCCCATAATAAAAGTGACAAAGAAAAATATATATAGTTTAATTATATTATATATATATAAAATGTTTTAATTATATATTTATATTTATTTAAATTGTAAATTTCTATTCAAAAGAGGTAACTGAAAATTTTAAGCAGAAAACTTTCATATTCTTTATGGGAAGACTTTCTCACTTTCCAGGCAAGCCTAAGTCTTCCTGGCTCACCCTTCAATCCTCGGAGGGGTAGTCGGGGCAGCCAGTTCAGTGTCAGCTGGCGCAACGGACGTCGCTATGGCGACCGAAAACCCTTGGTCCTCCAGACATACATGGACGCTCAAGAGCATCTTCCCTATGCAGATGATAGTAAGGCAGTGACGCCCATGTCCGAAGATGGCGGAATAGTTATTCCTGTCTATACGAACTTGAATTCTCGTCATTCCAGTTACACGTCTCACTTATCTAGGATATCGTATACCTCTCATTGTGATATGTATAACAGAGGTCTGACAAAGGAAGGTCAGCTCATATCACGATCAAGGAAGCTTCGTGGCCACTACAGTCAGGTTAATATTTGTGTTTACATTTTACAAGTAGTTCAAAGGATGACATGTAAATTCAGCATCTTAGAAAAAAATGTAGTGTGTTTAAACAAAAAATAATGTAACAGTTTCTGTGTGTGTATCAAATGTGATAATTAATTATTTCTGTGTGAAATGTCTTCTTTCAGTGTGCTGTCTTCCTTTTTTTGTTTTTTTCTAAATGTTTTGTATTGTCTGTAATTGTATTGAATTAAAAGTACATACAGTTTAAACTAGAATATGTAAGATTAAATTATATTTAGTGCACCAATATCACCAAAAAATCAAATTATGTGTGGGCCATTCATTCATATCCACCTCCATTTCCTTACACCCCTTGTGGCTCTCTTCACTGCTGGTGTTGTTGCACGTTATTGTTTCCCTTCTGTTTGCCTCTTTAGGTCTATCAGCTTCTTCGTGACTTCTGTAAGACAACTTTTACTGCCAAACAGCCTGTTATTTTCCTTGTCTTCACCTTCAGGGGGCATGCTCTTGTCTGGTAGAGTGACAACTCTTCTGCACTGCAGCATATTCTTTCTGAAGCTGTCCTTCTCTACTTCATAACTTTGTTTTTCAGATAAATATTTAGATATTTTCTCTTTGATATTTTAAATATATAATTATTTATTTGAGAAATTAATTTTTAATAAAGATTAAACTCTTGTCAACACATTTTACAATATATATTTATTTAAACTATAATAAGAGATTAAGTCCCTTGAAGGTAAAAATTATAACTAATAACAATAATTAAACTCAATAATTAAATACGGTAAACTCTCAAAAAGTTGGTTTTCATCTACACTTTGATTTCTTTCAATATTCAAATAACTTTTATTATACAAGTGCTTTTAATAAAATATTTATTTATTTTTATTTTCATTATCTTTATAATCTTTATACCCTTTTATTCTAAAATGTATAAAAAATAGTCCCTAATATAATATTTTCTCTTTAAAATTTCTTATTTTTAATGTAGTATTTTATCATCATTTTTTCAATTTTATTTTAATTAAAACTTTAAAATAATAAAATTTAAAAAGATGTATTAAAATTTTTATTAATTCTATTGAAACTGAATTCTTTATTATGGAAAACATAGAGATAGTTATCTACACTTTTCTTTTTTTATTGTATAATTTTCTAGTATTTGGTAATGGATTTATATTATTGAAATGTCCAATCAAATTTCTTCAATTATTCTATACTTTGTAATAGTCAATTTGTTGTTAACAGTGGATACAGTAATAAATAAATTTATTAGATAATAACTTCTAAAATATTAATATCAATTTTAGATGATAAAACTGGTTAAATATGATAGAATTAATAATTGTTTGGTCAGCAGTGTGTTTTTATGTAAAAATAATGAATTGCAATTCTATTGAAACAGTTATTTAAATTATTCTTCAATATATATATTTTTTTGTATTATTAAACATATTGAAACAGATTTAATTCTCTGTAAATTTTTCTTTAATTTTTTGAATTATTATTATGCAAAACTTTACATTTTTTAAGAATTGTCAATTACCATAAGTTTTTTCTGTTAAAATCCTAGAACTAGACAAAATAGAAGTATAACAGTAACAGGTGCACCTCACAACAAATATAACAAAAAAAAACAAAGAAAATAAACAGCTTACCTAAAGTCAAGGATAAAATCAGAGTTTAACATTATATGCTAATAAGCCACTTTTACATTATTTAAAATAGAAGTATCTTTTTAATAAAATTCAATTTTTGATCTAGCAGGAAATATTTAATAAAACAAATCTGTATATGTAATCTAAAAATGACCGATATAATAGATTGTTTCCATATTATATAAAAAATGAATATATCATATACAATCATAATCAGAGCCGTAACTAGGATTTTGAATGCCTATGGCCAAGAATAAAAATGGTGTTTTTTAATTTTTATTATTAAAAAAATAATAATTTTATTCTAAAAAAATGCTATTGTAAAAAAATTATCTAATGACATTTAAATATTATATAAATATAAATATAAAAAAGTTTTTTGTTATTAATTTCCAATACATATTATTTCGAAACCTTCTCGTTGGCGCCTTTATTAAATCGGCTCCTATGGC